AAAAAAAAAAAAAACCATCATGCTGAGTGATAGAAGCCAGACACGAAAGCCACATATTTTCTGAGCCCGTTGACATGAAATGTCCAACATCGCTGACTCCACATAGACTGGCAGCAGGGAAGTGGCTGCCGAGGGCACGGGGAGGAGGGGACACGCAGGAACCACCCGAGGGGACGGGATCTCCTCTCTGGGTGATAAAAATGCCCTGGAAAGAGACAGCGGTGATGGCTGCACAGCTCTGTGACTATGCTAAGTGTCACTGAGTTGTACACTTTAAAATGGCTCATTTTACGTTATGCGGATTTGACCCCAACTTTGAGAGAGACGGCATTTCCTTTAAAGCGTCAGATCGGCAAAGATTGGAGAGGAGAGCGAACGGTGTGTGGCAGCCAGCGTCAGCAGCGCCCGGTCCCCACCCCACCTCCACCTGGCCGCTTGGAGGGACACAGCCCATCTGTAGACACCACAAGTCCTACCTGGGCTCTACAATTCCACCTGTACACTCTCCTGGTGAAGAAATGGTCCGACTCACATGTACAAACATGTTCGTGGCAGCATTATTGAAATTTAAAAAGAAAGAAAGAAAGAAGAAGAAAGAAAGAAGAAAAGAAAGAAAGAAGAAAGGAAACAAAGAAAGAACGAGAAAGGAAAGAAAGAAAGAAAGAAAGAAAGAAAGAAGAAAGAAAGAAAGAAAGAAAGAAAGAAAGAAAGAAAGAAAGGAAGGAAAGGGCTTCTGGAACACCCAGTCCCTCCGGAATGGAATGTTCCCCTTCCTTTATTTTCAGATCTCGCCCCTAGGGCTGGGGATGAGCCAGGGTGGCTTCACCATGGTGGCAAAGGTCCCACATTGTCACTTGAAAGAAATTTTAAATTTTTTTTAATGTTTATTTACTTTTGAGGGAGAGAGAGAGACAGAGCACAAGCAGGGGTAGGGCAGAGAGAGGGGAGGGGACACAGAATCTGAAACAGGTTCCAGGCTCCAAGCTGTCAGCACAGAGCCCAATGCGGGGCTTGAACCCACGAACCGCGAGATCTGAGATCATGACCCGAGCTGAAGTCGGACCCTCAACCGACTGAGCCACCCAAGCGCCGCTCACTTGAAAGAATTTTAAAAATCAGCCCAGAAGATAGGCGAGGGTAAACCAGGTAAAGGCAACTGCCTGTGCAAAGGCCCTGGGGCTGGACTGTGCCTGGAACAGGAAGATCCAGGAGGAACAGAGAGAGAGAGAGGGAGCAAGAGGGAAAAAAGAGTTGAGGCCACAGGGGGGACAGGGACATGTTGCTACATGTCTGTTGGGTCACAGGGAGGACTTGAGCTTTTATGCCCATGGCTGTGGGACCGATGGAGGATTAGGTGCAGGTGGGGGGACGTGACCTGACTCAGCCACTGAGGGAGAACAGGGTGTAGGGGACACAGGTGAACACTGGGGACCAAGGAGGAGGTGGCCGAGCCGGTCCAGGTGAGGGATGATGGGGGCCGGACCAGGGCAAAGGCCAAGGAGGTGGTGAGAGTAGCCACGTGGAGCCCACTTCTGGACACTGGATTTCCTGACGGGTTGGCCGCGGGTGTGAACGAAAGAGCAGACTATGGGAGCTGACAGAGCGGCATCGGAAGGGCAGGGTGACACGGGTCCAGCCAGGGGGTCTGAGGGGACTCTGTCATCTCCGGAAATGCTGGGGACACACGCGCTGAGCATGGACAACTCAGACAGGGAGAGGGCCCCTCTCCTTCTGCCCCAGCCCCCAGCCCCTGCCCCGGAGAGAGGGAAGAAGAAAGAGGGAGACCTGGAATGTGGCCGAAACTTAACCCTGCAGCCACTGAGGAGCCCTGACTTTTTGCCTCAACGTGTCCAAATGCCACTGTCCAGCTGTGACAGGCGAGAGCGCTTAATCAAACCATGTCAGGTTACAGGACAAGAGAGTGCCCTGTCTGCACCCTGGGGACCTGTGAACATTGCGGCCACGGGGAGATCCCCGGGCCAGCTGCTTCTCGGGGACAGAGTGAGCAGGAGCCAGCAGGCTGTGAGGTCTGCGGCTCCGCCCAGGGCCACGTCACGGGAGGGTTCTAGAGTCGTAGCCTTTCCTCTCCCTGCTCTCTGGGAACCCTCCCGCACAGGAGCCCCTTCCCCGCCACCTCCCAGCCCCCACTGCCATATGAGTGTGTGTGCGTTTGTGCCCCTGAAACTCCAGGGAACACGTGTGTGCACGTGCGAGGGATGCATGCAGGTGTTCAGAGCACACCTGAGCACGTCCAGCTCCCACGGTCTGCGGGCACCCCTGCGCGGACCAGGTGCTGTGTGCAGGTGAGCGTCTGTGGCTTTGCAGGGTTCTCCTGGAGGCTCCCCCAAACGTCCCTCCCTCCCCCGCCCCGGGGCAGATGTATTCTCCGCTCTACGTTTTGTCATCCACAGAAAACGGAACTGGACGCCTGTCGGGCAAATGCCATCCCCATCCGTCACCGTTGGCTGTTTTCAGGTTCACAGTCGCTCTGGCATTTCTCTCCCCCCCCCCACCACCCGCCCCGCATCATTTTCAGGCTTCACCCCCAGGGCCAGGGATGGGCCACAGCGGCTTCTCCAGCTTTGCAAAGGCTCTGAACCCACACTCACCATGGC